TGGGTTCCCCCCCCCCCCCCCGCATCTGTCTCTCACTCCAAAAAACCGTCTTTCTGCTCTTCAGAAAACTCCCACACGCCTCTGCTTGAGGACTCAGTGACTCAGATGACCCCAGAAGAGCACTACAGACGGATGATGTCAGCTCTGAATGAACACGGCACGTTTGAAGAGCAGCAGCAGCAGCGTCTCTACCAGCTGGCCAACAGCATGGCGGTTCCCAGCCATGGAGGTACCAGCCTGTGTGGGGGGAAGAAGGGGCTGCATTCACAATTTATTTAATTTGAGCCTCTCATTTAATCATTTCCTCACTTTCCTGTGATCTTTGAGCCCTTCCCTGGCAACTGAGGTGAACTGTAGCAACACATAGTGGAATGGATCAGCCCTGGTTTTGCTGTTGTTGAAAAGCTGGGGCAGGTAGCTTGGGGTTGCAATAGATCTATGTGCAAGGGGGGTTACATCGACCCCAGGGTTCAGAGTCCTGGATGCAAGCCTGGTTTGGTCACACGTGGAGTGAGCTGAGTGGACTCAGCTTGATCCCTTCCCTTTGTCATAAAACCGCTGCACAGTTTGACACCTTCCAGCCTGCATGGCAGGTCTGGCTAAACAGAGGCACCAGGGCTGGGACAAAGGTGGGGGCCCCATGGTGCATGGGCAGCTTGGTGAGCGGAGCCAGGATCTGGAGTGGCGTGCTGTATGGCAGGGTATAGTTGAAGCATGTTGCTACTGCCATGTGTGGGAAGTTGGGACGGTATCTGCCCTTGCTGCGCCTGGCTGTAGCTGGTGTTAATGACCCTTCACCTTCATGGGGATTAAATGCACCGTGCTTTTAGGAACAATACAAATACCATGCAGAAGAGAACATGGGGCAATGGAGACTGCTGAGCCAGGGAAGACAGCACTGGCAGAGTGCTTTCTTAGCATAATTGGACAGGTCCATGCTTGGAGTAAGTCCATTGAAGGCAGCTGGCTTTACTCCAGGGAGTAATGTGGTCCCTCACTAGTTACAACTAGGTCTGCAGCAGAAAGGTAAGGGTTGGTGTATCTGGGAGCTGGAGGGAAGGAAACTTTTCCTGTGTCCAGCATGCTCGTGCTGAGGGAGCTCCATCAGAGCATTGCCATGAGGAAGCCGTGGACAGCTTCCAGGCATCGCTTTCCCTGCCTTTAGCAATCACTCAGGCACTCGGGCTCTCTGCTGCTATGTTGGTATTATGGTGCACCCAGGAGCCCTCTGCCCACCCTTCTTCCATGGGGGCCTATGAACATGTGCTGTGCATGTGTTGTGCTTGTGCGTGTTGTTCCTCTTTGCAGGTGCTGTTGCATCGCTGTACTTAAAGTCCCAGCCTTGGCAACGTTGGGCTGCATTTGCACTGTCTCTACACTGAGACAC